TTGTAAAAGTCTTTATCGATTAGAGAAATAATAGAAGCAAACCCGTTTTCTTACTGGCGTGAAATATATCGTAACCCGACTGACCAACGAGCAATATCACACAAAGCCAACATTACAACTAATAATTCAATGAATTAAAGCAAATAACAAATGGTCTCAATAGCATTTGCTTTATATTTAACAATCTCATTAGCACCGAGCGTGAAATAATTTTATTTTATATAATTAGGTTTCAGAATTTCACAAAAATAACCAGGTAGACCTGCCCTTATTAATTTTCATGAATGTTCTAGAGTGTATGTAAAATATATTTGAAATAGAAGTGTTATAAGCTAGCAACCGATACTCCCTTATCCACGCTCTAAAATTGTGGCCTATATATAATACATTACACCAGTAAAAGTTCTGTTAAAACTATTTCAACCGTTTAGGAGATGAAAGAGTTCTCAGACAGACAACACCATTAGAATCTAATTTTCTATATGATTACTAATTTATAATACGGTTAATATTACTTTTTAATTAAACAGTCATAGGTTATGGAAAATATCACGAGGAGACCGGTACGTCTGAGAGAGCCTAATAAGTAGTTTTCAAAAGACGTCAGAAGTCCGCCAACCCGCACTCGGTCAACGCGGTTATCCTCCTCATATTGGGGGAAAACTCATACTCAGCAGTGGTATGTTAAAAAACACTACATAATATTTATTTATTAGTATATTAGCGACTCGCCCTCGCTTCGCTCGTGGTCGTCCCTAGATACGTTTTAACGGTTAGTATGGAATCGATAGACTATATATTATAGCCTATAAGCCTTCCTCTTTACGGGCTATCTAATGCAAAAAGAATTTTGCATATCAGATTAGTAGTTCCTGAGATTAGCGGGTTCAAACAAACAAACAAACAAACAAACAAACAAACTCTTCCTCTTTATAATATTAAGTATACATATTATAACATCTTAAATTTCTAATTTGTTAATATTTTACTTATATCATATTTAAATTTTTAAATATATCCTTTATGTTTATTAAAATGGCTATAGCGCTTTAGTAAATATATAAAGTAATAAGAAAGAACAGTCTAAATAGTCAGTTTCCCCGAACATTAGTTCATTAATAAGATAAGCTTCAGATAATCAAAATACAATAAATTACAGATCGCCTTTATCGTCTAATTAGAGGGGACTTCCCCACAGAGATCCACAGAGTTTCGCTTCATCAAATAAAACATAATACTCGTATATCATTTAATATTATATTGATATTAATATTAATATTTATTAGCTTTCATCGTGCGGAATATTTTTTTGTTTGAGATAGAAGCCTATCTTATTTTAGTCTAAAAAAAGTAGTGTTCAAATCATTTTACAATATCTTAACGTCTTCTTTGACGACACGTTTGGCTCATTTTGTAACTTACTGTGCAGCGGTCGCTGGTTCGAGTCCCGCTGGGGGCATTCATTTGTGTGAGCATGAATGTTTGTACTCCAGTCATGGGTGTTTATATTTATAATATGTATGTAAAGTTATTTATGTGTAGTGTATCAACTATATGGTATCCATAAAATAAGCTACGTATTATAGTATATGCTATAGAACTAGATGGTGATGTGTGTTAATGTCCCAACATATTTATTTATTAAATGGTTATGGACCGCGCAAAAAGCAATTTCATCAACGAGTCGAAGCATGATAACTGTTTGAAGAAAATGTCTAACATCTCTCATATTAGTGTTAAGTGTTGCTACGAAAAAAAGACAATAGCAGCATAGGGCTTAGTCACTATATTTTACCTTTTGTGCAATAAATCGAATAATATTGTTTCCTCAATACAGTGAACAAAATCATAAAATCGTAAAGAAAGAATATTACTTTAGATTTTTTGAACAATTTGCAAATTGTATATATGTATTCTATATATTACATCAAAGGATAAGCTCATATATTTATATAAAATCCCACCTTGTAGGCATCAAACATTTCGACCCAGATTTATGTCTTCGCATCGCAATGTATTTGGGTCTCACTTAACACACTCTAGATTTAAATAAGATCTTGTAATTTATTAACATTATAATAAATTATCTTTTGTTCAAGTTTTGTTTACGAATACCTTTTTTCTTATTTTGTTTTCTTATAAAATTGTTCTTTGTTCGAAAAATCTTCTTCAGAGCTTATCCCCGTTTTAAATTATAAAATCGGATGAGCCTGTTTTAGTCGCCATTAGCAGTTTTTATATGAAGCTTTTTTCTTTTATTAAAAAGTAATGTCAGATTACTAAGATTTTCGCACTATTCAAAGAGACTTTTTGTTGCGAATGAATTTAAATAATTTTAGAAAAGATATAAATCCTTTACATTATATAAAGATTTGCAAAAGGGATTCTGTTAAGCTCAGGAATTACAGTGTTTATATATTTGCTACTAAGACATTTTCTAAGCGTTTTCTCGCGGCTTTGACCGTGCCTTTTATTTTTGTAAAATTAATTAATCTTAGTAGATTGTAGGGTATATAAATGAACTATAAAACGAAAAAAAAATCGAATTGAACCACTAGATCCAGAGATTTGAGATCAAACTCTCCAGCTCTATCTCATAATATTAAATGAGCAATTCTTGTATGTATATTATATAATATAAATTTACTTTCGTGTATCTTGGTAACGGCTTTAATGATTTTGATTCAACTTTGTATTTAGATAAGGTTTTGATTTTTAAGTTTATCTACATAATATATAGGTGTCTTTTCTAAAGGCAAAGCCGAGCAAAACTCGGTTTTCCAGATAGTAATAATATTAGTATATATTCAATTATTGAATAACTTTCACAAGTCAAATACGCTATGTCGAATATGATATAGTTAAAAAGACATAAATTACGTTCATTTTGGGCTAAACTTACAACCATACAATTTAAAGAACAAAGTGGAAAACTAAAACAGTTCTCAAAATTAAATTTCTTGGGGAAGTTCATTAAACAGCGATAAGTCGTGTAAAGTTATGGTAAGATTATGAAGCAACGACGTTTGCAGTCACTTCGTTAATTGTTATAAATGGCCTCATATAATTCGTTTAAATGCTCTGCTTTTATTTTTTATTATGATTTTTGAAAGAGATTAAAATTTTTATACCATATATCTTTTTATCAGAGATATTATAACTGTATTTTAGTATATATAAGAAGTATAATTCACGTTTTATCCAGTGGCTTTGATTGCGATTTTTTTAAATGTGTTTGGACATTAACACACAGCACCATCTAGTTCCATGGTAAGCTAAGAGGTTTGTGCTATAGATACCAGATAGTTGATACACTACACATATATATAACTTTAAATACATACATTATAAATATAAACACCCATGACTGAAGTGCAAACATTCGTGCTCATCACACAAATGAATGCCATCAGCGGGACTCGAACCGCAACAGCTGGCACAGCAGCAAACACTACTAACTGAGCCAAACAAACAATAATGACCTATCGTTTGTGGTACTGCAGTACAAGCGGCCTGAGACAGTATGTATCCACACACGAATTATTGTTAGCATTAGCTGTAGAGCAGTAAAAATTTACTAAAATCGGTACAATTATTATACTAAATATATTATAAGTTTGATTATTTCATATCCTAATAAAAAAGATATTTACACAAGTAATTCTAAATATTAAATAACATCTAGTAATAATAAAGGAAAATGTACCTATAATTTAAACTTTAGAATTCAGCGGCTAAATTTTCTCAGAATTGTACCATCTTAAGTAGTAAGAGGCGATGTAAAGTACTTTATTTCACAAAATTAACTGTAAACTGCTTTATGTAAAATTAAAGCAGGTAATTTGGTGACGAAGATTGATAGAACTCACAAATATTTTATATACAAATAGGTTTTACCTTGAAGTATTATAAAACTACTAGCGGACCCGACAGACGTTGTCCTGTCTACACGTCTTTAATTTGAAAATTTCAAACTTTTTTTAATAATTTTTTTGATGAAAATTATTATTCAAATTGTGAATCTAAACCATTCCCAGATCCCCTTGAACACACAAAAAATTTCATCAAAATCGGTCCAGTCGTTTGAGAGAAGTTCAGTGACATACACACTCACATAAGAATTATATATACATAAAGATTTTCATTTCATTTGTACTACTGACTTTAAAATCACCAAACGTAATAAATGCGTCTACACTTTAACGCTGCAAATGAATTATTTCACGTGGTGGTGGACGGAACTTTAAAGATATTTTAATAAAAAAAAATTTTATTATTTTATTTATAATAAGTTATTATAAAAATACGGAAATTATGGTTAATTATGGTTATGTTTTTGATATTCTTGATAGAATAGATAAGTACGTTATATGTATATGTTTGTGAACAGAAATATATTTCACGTGAATTGCGTTTTTACGTGAAAAAGATACCTATATTGGGAAAATAAGGTCTGTTATCAACAGTGTACTTACCAAAATAAATAATTATAATCTCAATATCTTCAAAACTTTTCAAATTAAATCTACTATTATATTTAAAATATCCTTTATTAAGCTAACAAAGTTCGACATTAACACGAAACTTTCATATTATTTCCTACGATTAACTGTCGCTAGTAAGTCAAACGGAATGCCTTACGAGTATTATAATGGTACATTAAATTTCACAATTCAGGGAACTGAGAGTAAAATTTAATTTAATAAATGTATTATCAAAGCGAGCGAGTAAGTTACACACCGCATGTAGCTGCGTTTGGGTCAGAATTAACTGTTTTGCGAAGATTAATTACGCGTCGACGTCTGCGTACTACAGGTAACTTGTGGTTATTGTTAACAAATTTATACTTCAAAATAGCTATAATAACTATCAAATATTAACTTATACGATTTTTTTTTAAATTAAAAATTAATTAATTAAGTTTGATTAACGACTAATCGTACCTCGAGCGGTGCCAGCTCTCCGAGGCAGCTTCTAGCACACACTTTCACAAGAACTCACCATATCTCGACACTTGTCACAAGATCAATCACAGGCTGTAACGTCGTGTACGACACCGTAGCGAGCGAGGCGGCCGACGCCGCGCGACTGAGCCGTGGGCAGACGACGGGGAGCGCGCGCCGCCGCGAGGCGAGCCCGCTGCCTGCAGAGCCGCTACATCTTCTTACCCGGACCACTATAGATATTTACAAATAATAAGTATTATACTCTTGATAATTAAAATAGATAATGAAAATTATTAAACTTATTCTATAAAGTTATAATTTTAATTTTATTCAACCACTTTTCTTAGTACAGTTGTAGGTAGCGTGCTCGCTTGGGAAACCGAGTGGAGTGAATTCAAATTCTGGGTCTCGCACCTCTGATATTTTCATGTGAGAATCATTTTCAATATAATTACCACTTATCTTACGGTAAAGGAAAATGTCTTGAGGAAACTGCATGTCTGAGAGAACCTAACGACACAAACACTAATACCACCATACCGGTAGATTATTTTGTTGATAATGTGATACATCACGTCGCTCCATTGCTCTGAAAAAGAACTAAACAAACACTTCGTATAAGAGATACATTTGCAATCTGTATAATCTTTACTAATATTATAAATGTGAAAGTTTGTGAGTATGGATGTATGGATATTTGTTACTCTTTCACACCAGAACGACTGAACTGATCTGGATGAAAATAGATGCACAGAGATAGATTATACTCTAGAATAACACATAGGCTACTCTTTATCCCGGAAAAGTGTACGGTTCCCGTGGGATAGGTTTTAGGTGTTTTTGTGTTTCTAGTTAATAATAATTCTGGAAGTGGTCGTCGCTTGTTCATTTGAATACGTGCATATTGCATATACTTTCTAAATTATACAAATAGGGTAAATGTAAATGTTGTTTTCCAACAATTAAATGACGAAATTGACAAACGCGTTAACAAGTCACGCGCGAGGCCGCCGCACGAGCTCACCGCCTCTAATGGCACTATTTGTATGATAGTACTGTAATAATTAAACAACCTCTATCAGTATTTAATTAATTATATTATAATATTATATACATATAAATATGGTGTAAATGTACAACTGTTTGTGGTCTACGATCGTGTCTGTGATGAGACCATCAAATATGTATACGCGAATTGCTATTTTCTGCTGTCAAAGCGATCTCTTGCAAAATTAAAAAAATATTATTTACATATCAACTACATATTATTATAACTTTAAGTAGCTCGAAGAGCCTTGAATATCGCTTCTTTATTCGTTAAAATTCTTAGCAGGAGCAAACGTAATCTTGTAGTATCTGTTTCAATTACTCTTTTTCGGATAATGAACCTATACGTTTTTAACACATTTTTCCAAATTCTTTAAATATTTGTATGTGAACTATAAATGATGATATATAAGATATAGTAAATACCTCAGACTTTGTTTCGCTAGTACTTCTCAAGACTGAAGAATTTTGTTTCCGATACCGCTGATAGACTCGTTTAAAATGTAAACATACAACCAAACCCCTTAACAAAGGTCGATATTATAATTACATTTGATTCTGTAAACTACTTAGATTTTTATAAAATAAAGTTAATATAACCAAGTCACAATTTAGTTCTCCTGTAGTAAAAGTTCCCTCCCTGTTCCCGCACTCGCCGACCGCTCCGGGGTAGTTCGAGATTGATTTCATTTCCAACTGAAAAATAATTAATCTTTGAACAAGTCTAAGAAATATAATTCTACAATGCCTGTCGTTAGGGCTTCAAGAACTTTCGAGATTTTTAAGTAAAAACTAATAAAAGGTAAAATTCTTAGTGTAATGGTTTTAGTCAATGGTTCCATTCATAATGTAAAAGAGCGAGGATTTTTGTTAAGCTTTTCTGTAGATTATAATTTAATTTATTTTTTTCATTTTTATATTTAGTACTTAGTCTCACCGGTGGCAGGACTCTGTTAAGCTTGAGGAGTCCGACTGGATGGGTATCACCCCCTTATGTATTTCTCCCGGCCAGCAACAATGATTACATTGTTGTGTTCCGGTTTGAAAGATAAGGTAGCCAGCGCAATTATAGTCAAGAGGCATATTAATCTTAGTCCTCACAACGACAACGTACCTGTGGTTTTTCATTTCTGTTACATAAAACCTAAGTGCATGAACCGTAGGTGTTATGGACGACATCTGTCGTATCTACATATATATATATATATATATATATATATATATATATATATATATATATATATATATATATATATGTAGAATATATATATATATATATATATATATATGGGTACCTGCCCCTTTCAGTCAGATGACCTGCCTGCTCGTTTATCACTGAGCACCATAAAAAATAGTAGTTAGAGACACGATCTTTTAATGTAAAAGTACGGAATAATATTATTATTTAATATAAATTTGGGCAGCAGTTTAATAAATGGGACACGCCCCCTGGAGGAGTGAGTGATATTTTTGGATAAGGGAGGTGATGGGGTGTCCAAATATGTAAAATTTATTTTGAGAAAACGAAAGAGATTGAGAGAAGAGTTATTGAGACTTAAAGTTACATTTCCATATATTATTATGACATACTACCATTTTGACACTTGGAAATGTCAAAATTTCACTTCCAAGCGCCAAAATGATCTTCAAATAATGAGACAGATCTATTACCAAATTTTAAATTAACATAAATCACTAATGATAGTAGGGGTTCTGGGTTTGAAATAAAAAAAGACTTAACGAGAAGGCTAACAGTATAAAGTATAGTGTTGCTTACTGCTTAGTAAATTGTCTTTTTAAGTAATAGCAAACTAAATTAAAATTATTATTCTTAATTAATTTTAACTTTTTAAATTACACATAGAAAAATTATGTGACTTAAATCATTAATATTTAAAATTTTATATTTTTTCATTATGGTTATAAATATAATAATGGCAACACTAAATATAGATTACTAATTAATATTTTTAAAATTGTAATAATTATAATGATAACAGCAAATATTAAATAAATAATATTCCATATTCAATTATAAAACTGATTAAAATTATAAACATGTTTAAAGTTATAAAATATTGTAAGGTACTTTGGTGCAATTTTTCATTTTGTTATTTGTGGGTAGGCTGTCTATAGCAACTATACCTTCGAGACATCTAACACCTCAGTCTCTCCCGTGACCATGAATGCTGTAAAGCATTCGAAACGTTGGGAACCAAAAATCTACATAAATTTGCGAAATAATCCGAAAAGATAGTTTTATTTGAAATGATAATATTGTTTTATATGCTATTTATATATTAGAGTATAGTATTATGTATTTATTATCGTCTCGTACTAGTAAAATTGCAAATGTAAATGATTGCGGTTTGATCAAAGCGAGCTTATACCGTTTACTGACTTACAGATGGGAACCGACATAATCGTATATTATAACGGCTGCCTTGGTGCGACCCGATGCCTCAGCGCTTCGACCGGTCAGCGTGAAGATTGGAGGACATATACACATATATGTACTAGATAAGTAGATCAACTATTTGTTACGTCGTGGGATATATTAATAATAACTATTTATTGTCGAGGTCGGTAGAAGTAACTTACATAGATGTTAATTTTACTTACGAGGACATCTATAGAGATGTTAAAGCTTAAAAACGTAAAACCTTTCGCATTTATAATATGAGCGTGGTATGTTGATAAAAATAGATAAAATCTCAAAAAATCTTAATCTCCAAATATAAATTCTGTTTTTTAATCTCGTGATGTTAAATGAGCAAATTATTCTTGTATATTATGCACAAAATATTTGTACATTTATTTTGTGTATCTCGGAAACGGCTAACTATTTGGATCAAATTCTGTATTTAGAATATTTTAATTAAGTAATTTTGTTTTATTTTTGTAGTTAAAAGGGGGAAACGAGCAAACGATCCACCTGATGGTAAGTGGCTATCGCCGCTCATAGATATCTGCAATACAAGAGGAGTTGTGAATACTTTGCCATCCTTCAAGGGACCTGATAACACGACTTTTGAAGAACCCTATATTATAGCGCTTAGGGAAAACCTCAGGAGACCACAAGATCAAAAAGTTCATCAGAACACTCTCCATTGTAAAGACGACGGAAGATACATAAAGGGCCGATTCTCTCCGAAAGCTTAGAGGTTCTAAGTCGTCTGTTAATACGAGATCATCGACAATACGAATTGCTCAACGTTGGATAGAATCAAATGGAAGAAGCTGGTGTTGGTTTTGTTACAAAGTTGTAATTTTCCCTTTGATAAATAGACAAAAAATTAAATAATGTAACATAATCTGTTGCGGTCCTTATACAGGAAGTTTGTAGAAAGCTCTTCATTTTACTGAGAAATAATATTTGCGCTCAAACCTTAAACTTACAGATAGTTGGAAGCGAAATTTCAACTATGAATAATTTATTTGTTTATTAAAGTTTTGCTGCTTATTAATTTTGCAATACTGCAAAGAAATAAACACAATGTTGTATTTAAATGATGGCCTGGACAATATTTCATTAGGTCACTCACGATATGGATGTATATATCTATATTAAACTTAAAACAAAGTAGGTACTTTTCCACCAGAAAGCAAATAGGTAGAGAAACAATGTCACTTTGGAAATCAGACTATATAATGTATTGTATTCACTGTATCTGTCAAACGTGTTGTTGCTCATTCTATTTTATTATTTAGCACTATGACATTCTTAAGAAATAAAATGACACAATTTGCCAAATAATGTTGTAATAACGTTGCGTAGAAATAATAAACATTAATCTAAGAGACGTAATGCCAGGTTAAGAGTGTTTCCCCCCCAACGTGCGTTCACCTTGTCGTGGTGGGGGGGCTCAGTAGTGCCCGGCAACCCAACCGGGCGCGAAGCCAAGAAACGCACAGGGAGGTGGCCCACTTCGGTGGGCGATGGGAGGTGGCCCTCTTCGGAGGGCAGTGTACCATGCGGGTTGCTCCTGGTACTTCTCTGATAGCAGAGTGGACTGTGGAGCAACCCCGTGGTTGTTGTGGTCTGCTTCGGCAGACCTGCCGTCGGGGCGTCGTAGTTGAATGCGTAAGCGATCCTACGACGCCCCATTAAGACGGGGGAAGGTTTTGTTGGGTTATAGTGGGTAGTACTGGCTTTGCCGGTGAGTCCCACACCTCGTGCGTAAATGCATTTCCCAACGTTAAAAAAAAAAAAAAAGGTTAAGAGTGTTTGCCGAGCCTCGACCGCGAGGCTGCAGTCAGAGCTGGAGGGATAATATTTTCAATTCGACTTCAAACTCTAAAAACTTGCCATTTTCAGTTTAAAGAACGCACCGCGCTTGAAATTATGAAACTATTTCTAAGGTTCTGGACACATTACATTTGAAACATGCCATCGCTTTAAATCTTTATTTTGGCAAACTATACTCCATTTTTAAGTAAATTTTCATCCCCTAATTGAACTTTCTTCAACTCAGTCTGATCAATAAAATGTCAATAAAGAATTAAGTAAATATCCATACTTTTACTATTATAAATCTGAAAGTGTGTTTGTTTGTTTGTCCTTCTTTCACGTCGAAACGGAGGACGGATAGGCGTGATTTTTTGTGTGGAGATAGTTGGAGGGCTGGAGAGTGACATAGGCTACTTTTTATCGCAGGAGATTATCTCATTCCCACGGCAAAACTCGTTATAATACAACCTACAACACTCGTCATACCTAGGGACGAACCTGAGTCCTAAGCCTGAGAGAGTGAGTTGCTAGTATTATAATAATTTACATTTTTAAAATAAATATGTTTGGAATGTATAAGTAATATTTTTTATGCTTTCTATCTGGTTATACAAACTAAAACATTATTTAAAGTTGATCCTGCAGAGTATGGTGGTACGGCGGGGAGCAACCGACGTCGTCTGCATCCTCTTGGGAGCTATACTTGGCAATGTTTCCTCTTTATGTTCATGTTATTTCAAGGTTTATTTAATAAATTGTATTTTCAGCAAAACAACTGAACTTTAAATGACTTTAAACCTGCTTTTGACAGCTGCTGTAGGCAGTCGCTTGTACAATTATATAGTCGTTAATTGTAAATAATATTATAGTGCTAGTATATACTTTTAAATTTTAAAAACATCATATATTGTTCTGAACACGCCATAGAAAGTAAATAAACTAAAATATTCCTAAAATTTATATCTTATTATGCAAAGACGTAAAGCTATGAGCTAAACAGCGAGTTAACGGCAATTAGCAGAGTTGGTCGGCGCTTGTGACGTCACGGGACGATTTATTGCGTACAAGTTCTATAAAGAGGGAAACGCCCACGTGACTTGTATAGTTTATAATTAATGAAGCCCATGTAGAGTATTGTAATGGTTATTTTTATGTTAAGATAATATTTTTGTATTTTAGAAAAACATATATCTGCCAGTATTTTTCAATTTGTTTTGGATTTTGTCCTAAAATTTGGATAGGTATAAAGAAAGGATAATAATTTAATATGTAAATAAAATTTGAAAATGTTGATAATTGAGAAACAGATCATAAAAGTACTGGTCTGTTAAAAAAATCTGTCAGTAATAGAATGTTTTTTTTTATATATTTATTTATAAATACTATTTTAGAAATTATTACTACATAAGTATTAGAAATAAATAATATTTTTGTTTGCTTTAGTTAACATGTCGCTTTA